ATTTAGCCTAGTAGCAGATCAGGAGATTGTCAGTTGGTTTTTGAAAATTTAAACTCGTAAATTATGTTAGGTTGAAGAGTTGACACAAATCAAATTTATTACCTTAAATCAGATTTCTTTCTTTAGTTAAAGTACATTTCTTATTAGTTTCACAATACCCAATAAAGTTAGTTTTAATTTAAAATGTTAAAGCTCAAGCTATCCTGGGATAGTAGCTATTTCTAATTATGTAGTATTTCACAAACTGTATTCCACTACTTTCTAATTATGTGTATTTCAGAAACCATATTCCCATAACATTTTTTTAAAGAAATGTTTTATAAATAGGTCATAAGAAACACGGACTGCATTTAAGACCTACTCTTTCTAGGTTCCCTGAGGATCTGTCATAGATTTCTTTTAGAGAGTTTAAAGCAAGCACTGACTCCAGTGGGAGTTAATTTTTCATCCAGGAGATTCTCTTAAGCAGCAAAGCAATACTTAATTTCAGTTCCTGAATTATGGGTTGTGACTCCAGATATAAGGTAGAGAATACCTCATATACCATTACTTGAAAAATAAAATCTATGTCATTCTTATGTTCTCTTTACATATCTTGAGGAAAAGTTTGACTGTGAACTTCTTTTATACTATTAAGTGACACATGGTTCAGAATAGTAGAAGGGAATATGAATGAATATGAAGACATTTTCATGACAGTAGATCGTAATAGAAACTTTGAGTAGTATTTTAATAAAATTATATCCAAATTATAAATGGTATATGTTAATATTATCCAGTGATTTTTATAGAAAAAATAGTTATCCTCCATATTACCACTTAAGTAGGGAGCTTTTAATATGGACCCCACTTTGTACAAATCAAATCTGAATCTCTGACAGTAGAACCAAGCTTCAGTTTTTTCAAAAGTTCTCAAAGTGATTATAATTTGTAGTCGGGGTTGAGGACTACTGTTCTAAATTAGTTCAAGAAAATCTTTTTATTTCTCTTATATTAACGTTTTAAACAAGCAGTATAACTCAATTAAAGTTTGATGTTTTAAGCTTCATTAAAGAATATATTTCTCTAATACCCAACCAAACCAAACCCGGTTGCCTTCCAGTTGATTCTGACTCATTGCAACCCTATAGGACAGATTCGAACTGCTGACCTTTTGGTTAGCAGCCGCTTAAGTTCCATCAGGCTAATTTGTTTAAGATGATTATTTCTTCTCTTTAAAAAATCGTAATAAAAATTTTATTTAAACTGCTCAGGTGAGAAAAGGTAATGGATTTTTTTTTCCTTCTGGAGCTGCCTCTTTTTGTGGGGAAAACAAACAAACCTGTTTCTGTTGAGTCGATTTCTGGTTCATAGCAACCCAATAGGACAAGGTAAGGTGGGAAAAATTAAGCCCAGTTTGCTAACCTGTGGTTCAGAGATGTGAGCATCTATAAATCGGGAGATGAGGGGGGATACTTTTACAGGTTTGTGTGCTGGTGGGGGGGTGCAGTTTTAATTCTCACTCTGTTTTAGAAAAGAGTTTTCTACCCAGGAGTTCTGGGAAATCTTTTGTCAATCCCCAAGAGGCAATTATGTTACTACTTCACGGCATCTCGGAAGAATTAAGTTTTTCATATTGCTCCTGTACGTGTTTTATTATTAACAGTTGGAATCGAGTAACTAATTTTCTGAAGTCAGTGACTTGGAGAATAAACTAATAAATGTGTAATTGTATTTTGCAATTTTGTGTTTACTTTTTTGTAAATACTTGGTATGTGAATTACACGATTCTAATAAAACCTCACATGTTTTCATTACATCTAGCTTGAACTCTCAACTTGATATGTTATAGACTGCTTCTTTAAAGATGCTTTAATGAAAAATATTAAGAAAAATATATAGATTTGTATGTCAATTTATACTTCAGAAGTCCATGTATTTGTCATATTTATTTTTTTAAAAATATCCTAATTGTCTGCATGACTGATATTTAAAATGAACCCCCCAAAATACACCTGAGCCCAGAGTTGTCTGTTGAAATCTGTCAGCCATCCATATTAAGGGTTCATATAAAAATAATTTAAAATTGTATGCATTTTTTATCACTGTGTGTACCATATTTCTAAATATTCACTATTAAACTGATACTTTTTAAAACCTTAACCTGAATTGCTTTTTAGTATTATAATGAAAAACACAATAATGTATAGAGATTTTGCCCCCACGAATAAAGAGCTGGCATGTTGT